TTTGGATAAAAGCGTCTGCTAAATGACTAAATGTAAATGTAAATGTAAATGCTTTGAGAAAAGGGTAGCGCATTTCCTTAAATTGCTTTCGCTGTAAGAAAATGCAGCATGTTTTTAATAAAATGTTTGTGTTGTGAGAAAATGCAGCTTGTTTTCGTAAATTGTTTTTGCTGTGAGAAAATGCAGTGCGTTTTTCATAAATTGTTTGCATTGTGAGAAAATCCTGCACACTTTCGCAAATAGCTTTCGCTTTGAGAAAATGAAGCGCATTTTCGTAAGTTGTTTTCACTGTGAGAAAATGCAGTGCGTTTTTCATAAATTGTTTGTGTTGTGAGAAAATGCAGCACTTTTTCGTAAGTTGTTTTCACTGTGAGAAAATGCATCATGTTTTTAATAAATTGCTTGTGTTGTGAGAAAATGCAGCACTTTTTCGCAAATTGTTTTCGCTGTGAGAAAATGCAGTGCGTTTTTCATAAATTGTTTGCATTGTGAGAAAATCCAGCACACTTTTGCAAATTGCTTTCAGTGTGAGAAAATGCAGCACATATTTGTAAATTGTTTTCGCTGTGAGAAAATGCAGAATGTTTTTAATAAATTGTTTGTGTTGTGAGAAAATACAACACGTTTTCAGAAATTGTTTTTCGCTGTGAGAAAATGCAGCACTTTTTCATAAATTGTTTGCGTTGTGAGAAAATGCAGCACTTTTTCGTAAATTGTTTTAGCTGTGAGAAAATGCAGCATGGTTTTAATAAATTGTGTTGTGAGAAAATGCAGCAAGCTTTCGTAAATTGTTTTTGGTGTGAGAAAATGCAGCACTTTTTCGTAAATTGTTTTCGATGTGAGAAAATGAAGTGCATTTTTCATAAATAGTTTGCGTTGTGAGAAAATGCAGTGCGTTTTTCATAAATTGTTTGCGTTGTGAGAATATCCAGCACACTTTTGCAAATTGCTTTAACTGTGAGAAAATGCAGCACATTTTCTAAATTGTTTTCGCTGTGAGAAAATGCAGCATGTTTTTAATAAATTGTGTTGTGAGAAAATGCAGCAAGTTTTCGTAAATTGTTTTTGCTGTGAGAAAATGCAGCACTTTTTCGTAAATTGTTTTCGCTGTGAGAAAATGCAGTGCGTTTTTCATAAATTGTTTGTGTTGTGAGAAAATGCAGCACTTTTTCGTAAGTTGTTTTCACTGTGAGAAAATGCAGCATGTTTTTAATAAATTGTTTGTGTTGTGAGAAAATGCAGCACTTTTTCGTAAATTGTTTTCACTGTGAGAAAATGCAGTGCGTTTTTCCTAAATTGATTGTGTTGTGAGAAAATCCAGCACACTTTTGCAAATTGCTTTCAGTGTGAGAAAATGCAGCACATATTTGTAAATAGTTTTCGCTGTGAGAAAATGCAGCATGTTTTTAATAAATTGTTTGTGTTGTGAGAAAATACAACACGTTTTCAGAAATTGTTTTTCGCTGTGAGAAAATGCAGCACTTTTTCGTAAATTGTTTTAGCTGTGAGAAAATGCAGCATGGTTTTAATAAATTGTGTTGTGAGAAAATGCAGCAAGCTTTCGTAAATTGTTTTTGGTGTGAGAAAATGCAGCACTTTTTCATAAATTGTTTGCGTTGTGAGAAAATGCAGTGCGTTTTTCATAAATTGTTTACGTTGTGAGAATATCCAGCACACTTTTGCAAATTGCTTTAACTGTGAGAAAATGCAGCACATTTTCTAAATTGTTTTCGCTGTGAGAAAATGCAGCATGTTTTTAATAAATTGTGTTGTGAGAAAATGCAGCAAGTTTTCGTAAATTGTTTTTGCTGTGAGAAAATGCAGCACTTTTTCGTAAATTGTTTTCGATGTGAGAAAATGCAGTGCATTTTTCATAAATTGTTTGTGTTGTGAGAAAATGCAGCGCATTTTTGCTAATTGTTTTCGCTGTGAGTAAATGCAGCGTGTTTTTAATAAATTGTTTGCATTGGGAGAAAATGCAGTGCTTTTTCGTAAGTTATTTTCGTTGTGAAAAAATGCAACGGGTTTTTTATTGATCGTTTGTGTTGTGAGAAAATGCAGTGCTTTTCATAAATAGTTTTAGCTTTAAGAAATTGCAGCACATTTTCATAAATTGCTTTCACTGTGATAAAATGCAGCGCGTTTCATAAATGGTTTGCCTTGTGAGAAAATGCAGTGCGTTTTTGTAAATTGCATTTTCTGTAAGTGCATTTTTCATAATTTTTTTTTAATTGTGAGAAAATGCAGCACATGTTTCATAATTGTTTTTGCTGTGAGAAAATGCTGTGTATTTTTGTAAATTGGTTTTGCTATGAGCAAATTCAGCAAGTTTTTGTAAATTGTTTTTGTTGTGAGAAAGTGCAGTGCGTTTTCATAGATTGTTTCCAATGTGAGATAATGCATCACGTTTTTCATAAGTTGTTTTCGTTGTAAAACGTTTTTAATGTAACACAAAATGTAACACATTTTTAATAAGTCGTTTGCGTTGTGAAAAAATGCAGCGCGTTTTCTAAAATTGCTTTTGCTGTGAGAAAATGCCGTGCTTTTACATAAGTTGTTTTCGCTGTGGGAAAATGCAGCACATTTTCATAAATTGTTTGCGTTGTGAGAAAATGCAGCACGTTTTCAAAAATTGTTTTCGTTGTGATTTTTTTATATAATTTATTGTAATTTGTAAATAGTTTTTACATTATTATTTTTACATTTATTAGTTTTTGTTGTGAGAAAATGTAGTGTGTTTTCGTAAATTGTTTTCGCTGCGAGAAAATGCAATGCGTTTTTCATAAATTGTTTGTGTTGTGAGAAAATTCTATGCAAAAAAAAAAAATTTAAATGTAAGCAAGTGTACAATGTAAGCAAGGGGTACAAATCAATAATGAGCCTGGGTTGGAATTTTCGGTATTTAAAAAATGAAAAGTAATCCCCTACTTTAGTTTGTTCAGTGGATACGTAATTTAAATAGAGTAATTAGATACTTTGTCATTTATTCCACACCTTTCTTTGTAAAACTTTGCTCTCTGTTTTGCTTCCCAAATTGATTTATGTTTTCCAATCTGCCTTTTTCCTTTCAGGCTTTTGGCCGTCAAAGTAAAACGTTGCGATGCCTTTGGATTATTTTCTTTAAATGTGATCTCAGCTTCTGCTGGCTCTTATTAAAGACTGCCTGTATGGTTCTGTGAAGACCACCCCTGCTTGTCTCTCTAACGGACCTCTTTTATATCCAGAAATGACAGGATATTGATTACAAGAAGAGAAACGGTGAAGATGTTGCTAATCTAAAAAAAAAAAAAAAAAAAAACAGAGAAATGCCGAAGACTGAAAATCTCTTTGTTTCCTTCAAGTCTGGCTAACGTCTTGTATAAAGTGGTTGTGTGTGTTTTGTCTTACCTAATATTGAGGCAAATGTTTGTTCTTCATCTTTGAGGTTAAGGGGATTATTATAGGACCTGTTTGAGACATGCAGGGGCCTGTAGGGACAAGAAACGTGATCTTACTCTACTGGTAAGATTTGTAGATTTGTAAGAAGTGCAGGGGTGAAAACACATTATATCAAATGTCTTATGCGATTGGTGGTATATAGAATATTACATGTATCTAATATATATATATATATATATATATATATATATATATATATAATGTTGCAGCATTTAACATACCATACCATATTATTATTATTATTTTTATTATTATTATTATTAATTATATCTTATTATTACTAAGAATAGTTAAAAATTTTAATGTAGATTCATAGTAAATATAAATATTTTGTACAATAAAAAGAAAGTATTATGTCCTCATCATTATCATCTTCATTATTATTATTATTATTATTATTATTATTATTATTATTATTATTATTATCATTTCATTGTATTAAAGGTTTATTATAGTAAACATAAACTAAATTAAAACTGTTTTATATAAGCAGGTTTGTAATATAATATTTAATTTAATAACATTTTTAAAATAGAATTTTAATATAATGAAAACCCTTTTGTATAAGTATTTGACTGACGTGCAATATAATAATAATAATAATAATAATAATAATAATAATAATAATAATAATAATGACAACGATAATAATAAGAATGATAATAATAATAATGATAATAATAATAAGAAGAAAGATAATAACAACAACAACAACGATAATAATAATAATAATAATTTTTTTATAATTATTATTAATATTATTATTAATATTATTATTATCGTTGTTATTATTGGTGTGTGAGTGAATATTCATAATATTATTTTATTAATTGTACTTATTAAAAGTTTAGCATAATATGTTAAATATCATACATCAAACTCAAATATGTTTGACAATTATATTTTTGATGTTTAAAGTTTTTTTCTAAATTATCACGTGTATTGTTACATACAATATTTTAGCAAAAAATAATCAGTAACAAAATAATAATTCATCTGCATAATTCTTAATAATATTGCACTCGAAATGTTTATTCATTAAAATAATTATTATATTATAGTTATGAAATATTATTATTATATATGCAAGATGTGTATTTGTTATGTAAAACATTTTACTATAAATGTAAATTGTTATATATGAATACAATATTTATAATTTACAATTGTAAATATTCATTCAGATTTAAATGTTCTCCCTATGTTTGTGTGGGTTTTGGATTTCCCCCAGAGTCCAAGGACATGATGTATAGGTGAATTGAATCAACAAAATCAGCCATAGTGTATGTGTGTGTGAATGAGTGAGTATGAATGATTCCCAGTGCTGGGTTGCAGCTGGAAGAGCATCCACTGTGTAAAACATATGCTGGATAAGTTGTCGGTTCATTCCACTGTGGCGAGTCCTGATTAATAAAGGAGCTAAGTTGAAAGGAAATGACTAAATGGTACAGTAATACATTATACAACAACACATTTTACACTGTTACATCTGATCTATGTACGTCTGTGTACGTGTGTGGTTATATCCTCATCATCAGTAGGCGGAGTCCTGCACAGTGGGCTGGGTCTGCAAGCTCCTCCCCTCCTCCAGATCCTCCTCAAAGCTCTCATTCTCTTCTGACTTCCAGAGCAAGTGCAGAGCCGCGCACAGTCCGAGCAAACAAACACGCCGAAAACACCGACATGTGACGCTCCTCGCAGCCCTCATGAACTTTCATTTTATATTTCTGTTTTAATTTCTTTTTTTCTTCCCCATAAAGACTCGAACAGAGCAGGACTCGTAATCAAGCGCCGCGCAGTCGTCCTGTGGATTTGCCAGGAATTATTCACCCATTATTCATCCTCGTCCTTTATTTGTCCAAATCCTGGAAGAAGAAGAGGAAAAGAAATCAGCGCTTTGACCTCCAGCATTAACAGAAGAGAAGAGCTTTGGTTTAAGCAGCAGCAGCAACAGCTCGCTATTCGGGATTTTATCACTTTTGAGGATCGAGTTGGTTCACCTTCTTCACCTGAGTGAAACGGTAAATGGCTCTGTGTGTCTCGTTGCGGTGTGGAACTGAATTATAACATCTCTGTGTCGTTAAAGCGGTGTGGGGAATCGACTGGACAGACTCTGCTGGTCGAGTCTTGGTATGTTTGGGTAGTTAAAGTTTTTATAATGTACAAAAATCAGGTTTTATAACAATAGACTTACTGTAGGAATAATACAAAGTAGTAGTAGTGATGATAATAATAATAATAATAATAATAATAACAATAATAATAATATTAATAATAATAATAATAATAATAATAATTAAGCAATGAATATATAATAATAATAATAATAATAATAATAATAATAATAAATAAATAAATAAATAAATAAATAAATAAATAAATAAATAAATAAATAAATAAATAACAATACAAGTAAAATATTACAAGCAGGAAAAAGTTAAACAAATGAAAAGGCTTGTGTTTCAATGTGTAATCACATGCCATTTTATTCCAGTTGTAAAGTAACTTAAAGCAATTTAAAGCTAAACAAAAAGCTGCATTTCGACCTCTACAATTTTAAAACATTTACTAACATACTTAAAGATATTCCTAAAATAAGATATTTATATTTAATTTAATTAAATATTTATTATCAAGTTATTATCAAGTAGTAATAAACTTTCAACTATTGGTCTAAAAAATTTAAATGATTTTTAAATTATTTTTCACTTATTTAAATAAATCCTTTAAGTAAATTTTATTTGCATTTATATTAAATTTTCTCAGTAGTTGTTATTTTTTATTTAGTTTTTTAAGCAGCAAAGATTAAAAATAAGTAGTTTTAAAGCTTTTTTTATTATGTGGGAAGTTTAAAAGTAGTTCATTAAACAAATAGTAGCTATTTTAAAAATAAATTATTTATTTTTATGCTTTAATAAAGTTAAAACCGACACGTTTAAAAGCAGCAAGGCTTAAAATTAATACATAGTATTGAAAATAGAAATAAAAATGCACTTAGAGCAGTTTATTTAACTTTTGATAACAGTTGTTTTGAGGTGTTAAAAAGCTGCAAGGTTATAAATAAACATAATTTAAAACTTAAAAAAACTTTAAAAACAAACAAACAAACAAAAAAAAAAAACTTTTTAAATGTCTGTTTGCGAGAAGCACTCAATAAAGCACTGAGTAAACAAATCTATTTACAAATTTGAAATTTACAAATTTGAAAGTTTAAGTATTCAAAAACTTTCTTTTGTTTCCAGGTTGAACATATAAACAGTTAACTAAAAAATCAACAAATATTTTTAAAAGCTGAAAAAAGTATTTCAAACAGTTTATGAAACATTTAGAAATATTATTTACTTTGATATTTGTTTTTTAATCTGAGAAAGCAGATAACAAACAAATGATAATCAATAGAAAGCTAATTTTTTTAATACAAAATCAAGTATGTGTTGGGAGGTCAACAAGTTTTTACTCCCAGAAAGGGTAAAAGAAATTCATTTCAAAATGGCACATAAGTACTTTTGGTAACACTGAGCCAGAAAGTTATCTACATCTTTTTGTGCTTGTAAAATTTCTGATGATTTTTGGAAAACAGGTTTCAGGGTAGATTTTGGATTCATTTTACAAATTAAATACCTCCATATATATATATATATATATATATTTATTTTTTTTTTTTTACATTTTTTTTAATTGTGAAACTGGCTATGATACACTCGATAATGCTGTGCAGTTGATCATTTTTCTTGGGAAGTTTCTATTACTCCCTTCTTTCTTTTTTCTGTAAAAATTTGAAATATTTTATAATTGTTTAACCTCAATAACAAGAATAAAGAAGGCTATATAAAATGAAGGCTATATAATATAAAGGCTATATAATATATAAAGAAGGCTAATAATGAAAAATGTATCTGTGTAATCTAATAATTTGATGTGAATGATTGGATGTGTTAATGATTTAATGTGATGGATCCCTCCCAGAACTGACATATATATATATATATATATATATATGTCTTTAGAAATTGTATCATAAAACTTTTTTGCAGTTTTAACTTTGACTTTTCCAAACCTTGATAAACCTTGAAATCAGTTATCGTCCTATATATATATATATATATATATATATATATATATATATATATATATATATATATGTATATATATATATATATATATATATATAAAAATATATATATATATATATATATGTTTCGTGAACCGTGATACCATTTCTAAGGTATATGTAAAGGTTTTTTAAAAGTGTTTTTTTTAAATGTGTTTTAAGCTATTGAAGATGGTTTATTTTATTTATGTAACCTGACATGTTTACATTTACAAATCGTTTTAAACTGTTCCTAAAATGTAATATATTGTGTTAAATAGGGGGAAAAGTTTTTTTTTACTAAGACATTTAAAAATAAATTGTTTTATAGCAGTAAACACAAAACCTTGAAACCGCGATACTACAGGGGAATTGAGTGAGCTAAATTGTCCATAGTGTTTGAGATAGTATGGGTGTTTCCCTCTGATGGGTTGTGGCTGTAAGGGCATCCGCAGGGGCATGTGCCGAATAAGTTGGCGGTTCATTCCGCCGTGGCGACCCTAGAATAATAATGGTATATATATATATATATATATATATATATATATATATATATATATATATATATATATATATATGATATTATTTTTATGCATGTTCTGCATCACTGTATAAGTTTTGTATGACTGTTACATATGTCATCGTATAATGCTGTATGTATATGTTGGGTTGAATCTGTGCTCGGCTGGTCGCGACTCGGCGGCTGTGCGATGTGAACAACTCTGGGCTCGGTTGCTCAGGTCTTGAGGCTGGACAGTGAAAGTGTGTATGTATGTGTGTGTGTGTGTGTGTGCGGATTGATTCGTGTAGATGGAGAGAGAAGAGCTGTAGAAGGGCGAGATTTCTTCTCCTCCTTGCGCTCGGATGCGTCTATAAGCTTGACATCCAGACGTTATAATAGCTGCGATGTGACGCGCGATCTATTTCCTCCGAGGTAAGTCATCGCGCGGAGGGCATTTGTGGCAGATGGACTGAATTATAGCTGGTATTTTTAGGCTTGGCTGTGTTTGTGCTGCAGAGACTGGCGCTCCTAATGCAAACCAAATGCAAACAGGTGTAAGACCATCGTCTGTACGGCGAGCGAGCGCAGACGCGACGCGATAAACCAGAACGGTTCATTTTTAGTCGAATATGCATCGTACGACGTTTAGTTTGTCGCGTCGCGTCGATCGCGTCACGTCGTGAGATGGGCTTTAACGCTCCAAAGCTGGTCAAATAGCGAATTACAGGATTCGAATTTCCAAATACGACTTGAATTAACGGTTTTAACAAACATTATGTTCGACATTGATGTAGTTGCTTGTCTGTCGGGTTTTTGGAGGTGTAAATGAAGGTTTTGATTAACACGTCAAGTTGGTTTATCGTTTAATATCGATGGCCTGAGTTTTGAAATGTGTGTGATGTGGAAAAACGTGATGTAGGTAACTCGTTTCCGGTGTAACATCATTCATATCACTGTTTATTATCATTATCCGCCGGTTTGTTCGGATAATTGCCGTTTTAAAGGACATTATTGGGTCGTTTTAGATGTTATTGATTACTGAAAGATGATCAATAATGTCAGTCTAAGCAGAAAAAAAGGTTTACATTTGTTATTGTGCGTGTTGAGGTAAATATGCTGCTGGTGAATTTAATTTCCGCGTTCCGCTTTTGGTTTCATAGTTTTGTTTTTAGCCTTTGTAGACTTGGATGGTTTTGTTGAGAAAATTACATTCTTCGTGTTTACACGTCAGGCTTTGGCTTTAATCTTCGCTTTGCGATGTAAATAATAATATTGTGGCTTTCGTCAAGAAATCTTGCTGAAGTGTTTTGGCTTGAAATCAAGCTCTCCAATGGTTTGTGGATTTGTTAGTCTCTTCATCCTTCTAAAGACATGACAAAGTAACCTCAGTGTGTAGCACTAATGAACCAAGAGGATTTTTTTCTTACTTATTGGCTTGTTTAGCTTTTTAGCATGTTCATCACGTCTGGTTCTCCATGGAGACGTTTTTAAACCTTTCAGCTGTGTGAGGGGTTTTTTCCCTTCTTGTCAGGGGACATGAAGACCTCCATGAGCACGCCAGACATTTGTTTCCACGCTATCCTTCAGAATTTGACTTTTTCTTTTTAATGCTCCTCAGCGAACAGGAAAATGCTCCCCGAGTCCAGTCGGTTTTAACTAAACACAGATTGACTCCAAAACAAGGCAGTGGTGGAACTGTGCACTTGCTTGAAAAGAAAAACCTCATGTATTATATATAATGCTGTGTAAATACTGTTTTACAGTGATTACAAACAGAACAGTCATTGATCTAGTAACCAAACACTGTGGTTGTTTTGAATACAACTGTTTTTTTTCTTTCTTTTTTTTAATAAGTCTAAGCAGAACTGGGTTATAGGCCTAATGGTTTTATTTCTGCTAAAAATCTAAATACATTACATGATGTAGGTTTATGAACCTTTTTATTGGATTTTTTTATTTATTCCTAGTGTTAGTGTCTGTTGAAAGGTATGTAATATCCTGATAACGATATATCACAATATAACACCATTTCTGTCAGTCTAAAGTTTATATATATGAGCAATTCCAGCGTTATGGGTGTGACATAAATACACAGAGAAAGTCAATGTTAACTGTATATTGAAACATCTGTTTATATTTTCCAAAACAACTAGCCACAGAGTTACAGGATCAGAAAAAATCAATCTGTAAACATTTTTAATATTTTAAATGAGGAAAATAAACATGCGTTATGGATAAGACGAAATAAGCGAGTTTACAGTATACAGCATTGTAGAATTTCTGCGAATTAAACTACACAAACCAAAAGAAATAACGATAATCAAACGGATAAGAGTTGCTCACTATAGAACAAAAACGATTGGTTTTATTTTATTTGACAAATCCCTTTATGGATGTGACAGCTCTCTAATATGGATGCGACTGATATGAAATTGGCACATGTGTGGTTTTTATTTTTTATTTATTTTTAATTTTTTTGGTAAATCTAATATAATTTTGAAAACATTGACAAAGACATTTTTGAGTATTTTTTAAAGC